CATATTTTTGGTTTATTGGTAGTCTCGAAAACCCATTAACTTACGAAAAAATTATCTTAATGATTTTTATGTTAGTAAAATATAAGCAAAATCATTATAATAAGCATAAAAATCTCTAATTTTTTCTATACACAAGTTGATGTATATAAAATGATAAGAAATTAAAAACCTGAACCCAAATATAACAATCTAAAAATCAGATTAAAAATTTTTGAATTAAATAAAATATAATTAATTGAAATTTTATGTTTTAGTAAAATTAATTAAAATCAAATACAACGTTTCTGTTTAAACGCATCAAAGAAATAGATTTTAGCGTAACCCGTATTTTCAATGGACTATTTATTCCAAAGCTAAGCTTTTTCGTTGCTTACGTTTATGATCCACAAACTTTTGCCATGGACGGATTTGATGATCCTAAGACTCCTAACGTTTGTGTTACAATGCTGGAGGATGCAAACAATAGTTTGCAGGAGCTTTTTAATTTTTCCTCTCAAAAGCAGCAAGTGCCTCTCAATCAGAGGAATCTACCTAAATCTTTTTTCGTTCCACCGACTGGGTCTAGTGATCAGTGCTCAACAGAAGACTCTCCTAACTTTTCTACTCATAGTTCATGCATTAATGGATTTATTATTGCGCATAGCAAGGCTAATTCATCGCCTGCCTGCTTAGATGCCAAGCTTACGGTAAAGATAAATAGTGACCACGCAAGACAAAATAGCTTGGGTACACCATGTGACCAAAAGACTTTAGAGGAATTAGAAATTCAGATGATGATCAACAATAGTAGAATGCGACCAAATCTCGATGTCAATCTTCATCAGACAATTCAACCAGTTGGAGGCGGTGTTTCCTTAAATTACGCAATAGGAGAGTTACCAGATGGCTATGAAATGGCTATAAATGATAAAAAACAAGTGTATTTTCTTAATCATCAAAACCAAGATACTACATGGTATAAAAAATATTACTTAATTATTCTATTATCTTTCGATTTTTAACATTATCCATATGCTTCTTATAGGTTTGATCCTCGAATACCAGCAAAATACCAAAGGTGGGGAATGACTATAAGTGAACTTGAACAGTTGCACATAAACTATGCTCGCCATTTATACGGAAGTAACCCCGAGGCAACATTAAGGTTATGTGAAGAG